ATATATTAAAACTTGTGTTTTCAAAAAACATATTTAACATATTTGATGATATGGTATAGTCTTCATACTTATGAATATATGTGTATGTATAAATTACTAAGTGATAAAATTGTATTATAAAATGTCTTACATGTAATTGTGGTTTTATTTATATACATTGCATTTGTTAATAGTAATCTAGGCAGTACAGTTGTGGGTGTTTTAAATTTTTTCTTTGTACTGTGTCTTCCAGACATTTTACAATGAGCCTGTCTTAATCTTGAAATCAAGACAAGAAGTTCTTACGAAAATTTGTGCTATATGATTTTTATTCTTCAAATTTCAGGTTGCTATTACAGGTCTACAGTCACAATTCCAAAATTCACAAATCTTTGAAAACCAAAAGGGTTTTTGTAACTCATCAGTAGCAAAGCCTGACCTGAACTGATATGAGCTTATTTAGAATATTGATTCCACTTAGGCTGACTCTTTATATGTTTTGCTGCACAAATAATAATGCATTTATTACTGGCTGCTGCCCTGACCCGCTGGTGGTGTTGCACAATTAATGGTATACACATTCTATCACCTTTCTCAAGTTCCCCAAATACTGGTGTTGAACTACATCTGGCCCTGAGGGTTTTGGATAAGGGTTTAAGAATCTGATTCACTTCTAGTTATGTGGAGATCCTGATGCATTATTTCGATATTATCATACGGAGTTTTAAAATGATTGTATACTTTGCTTTTAAATTTTTATCAAGATGCATCTTCAAAAATTGGAATCAACACACAATCCTCAGCAAATCTATTTTCGAAAAGATGTCCTATGTGAAACCTTGTCTGGAAACAGCTGTCCTTTGGTGACTATAACAGCAATGCCAGAGTCTAATTACTATGAACATATCTGTCAATTCAGTAAGTCTGACTTCTTCACTCAAAATATAAATCAGTCTCACATATTTTTCTTTGCTTATATGTATATTTTATAATGGATATAATACTAGAACAGGCATCAAAGACTTGGGATCTTGTCTTGGTCCTGTTAGTTCCTCGCCATGGGCCTACCTCTGGGCCTCAAGTTCCTCATGTTGAACATAAGGGAGC